CCAGCCACAGTAGTGGGAGTCACTGGACCTCGCTCGTACCAGGTGGCACTCGAAGACGGACGCTTGTGGCGACGGCACATAGACCAGCTTAGGCGCAGGGTTGGGGACTTGGACACTACCGAGGTGCCCCCAACTGCGCTTGCGGCTCCAGAAGAGACACGTACAGATGGCGAGGCCCCACCTACACCTCCCTCGCAAACTGCCAGCGTGGAGCCGAACCAAGCCGTTTCAGAACAGACTCAGACCACTCCACTTGCGGAGGCTCCACTCTCAGCAGCGGATCCAGGGGAGTTGGTTCCAACGCCACCTAGGGTCGCACCACAGCCTCAGCGAGAACTGTGTGGCCCTCCGGACTTGGCTACCAGTCCCCGGCGGTCTGGCAGAGTTTCCAAGCGCCCAACTCATTTAAAGGACTATGTTGTTGGACAGGTATCACTGTTGGTCTAAGTATGGGAAATGTAACCGATATGCTTTTGTGCCTAATTGAACCATTACACGTAGTGCTGTATATAAGGAAACCATTACGATTGTAACTAACGCCTTATCTCGGTGGGGAGGGGTGTTATGTAGTGTAGTTTCACCCTGGGCCAACAGGGGGATACTGTATATAGTTTTCACTCAGGTCTGTAGATAGTTTTCACTCAGGTCCGCGCCAGTTATTTTAGGCGGGAACTCTGGGCTGTTGTGGTTACAATGTTGACAGCCGGCTGCCTATAAATACAGGCCGGCTGAGCTGTTCGCAGTCAGTTCTATTCCAGCTTACCAGAATAAAGAGCTACTTGAAGAAATCGCTGTGCCGGCTGCTATGTCAACCCACGACTTAACACTGTACCTTACATTTCCAAGTGAATTCCATACTCCTGCCATAAATTTGAACATTTTAAAATAAGAAATTACCCAAAGCTAGAGCCTATCTTCACCCATTTGAATTTTGTACCAGTAATTACACTTCCTAATGTGTATTAAGTCAGAGACCGCCTCACCTTTGAGCTGAAAATCAGTATATCAATAAACCATAGAGATAACAACATACTTCCTTCACAGTTTCAATGTAACTGTCATTAAATACCAATTAATACATATTTCTACATGCACTTGTGTTACTAGTATCAGAATACCTCTCTGGGAAGTTCACTATTATTGCTTGAGGCGATAGGTATCGATGTGAGGCCAATGTACTTGTTGAAACTTTGAATGGATGCATGGAAATTAAAGCATCCAATTAAACAATGTAGTTAATTCAAACTGTTTTCAAATTAGAAAGCTTGTTACCCATTTAATTTTCTTTGTTGTTTCCTTTATACTCCTTTAAACAGCGGCAGCGAAAGCAACTCTATAAATAGCAGCATGTATGTTTCCCGTGAGACATTTTGGTTTTTATTAGCTAATCAGAACCTGAGGTAGATTTGAGTTAACTAATGGATCAGATGTGGGGAAATCTACTTCTTCCCACTTTGGCTGATGGCCTTTACAAGGCAAATGTATAATTTTCTCTGCCTCATTTGGAATGTGCTGTTCTTAAACAAGTCTGAAACAAGGTGCTTTTGTAAACTATTATTTCTTTACTCTGCTTCTGGAATTAGAAGGTTCTAGAGGTTTCCATGGGGACGGCAGTTGAGACCGTTGAGAGATTTGAAGAATCAGCACAAGAACATCACAAGAGTAAACAACAGGGCTATGTGTATAAAGACCACCAAAAACCTCTCAATATGAGCAAAGAATGAATGAGGTAAAAAGGAACCACAAGGAAGTGAATAAAGAGAAAAAAGTCTAAAGAATGACAAAGGAAACAAAAGCTCCAGGTCATTGACATGCAGGTAGGAAGAGCTGAATTGCATTTATTTCCTTCCTTTGACTAAAAATTAGTTTTACTCTTCTATCATGTTACAGAATACTATGTTTCAATTTCTTTTCATTCATCTGTGTAAATTCCTGGCTGTATATTTGTACGCAAACAATTAGCATTACAGGATTCCAATATAGAACTGTTTTCCTATCTATATATAGTATTACACAAACTCTTGTGGAACAGTACTAGCAGCTTATTTTAATTCTGCTTACAAATTCTTCCAGATCCAGCAGTAACAATTATATAAAAGATTTTGAGGCTGCTCAGTCACAAGTCTCTCTAAGCAGGGTCAGCGTGTCCTGTTTTGCCACTTGAGGCAAAATGGGAAGTGCTTCCCGCCCTGCTGCAACCCCGTTGAAGCATCCCTTAGCTAGGTTGTACAGTGGCAGCAAGTTCTGCTGAGATCTCACAAACATCTTGCAGGAAATTGGTGCTTGCTTCTCCACAGGTGGCGGCAGGGCAGGTGGGGCTCCTGTAGGAATGCTGCCTTGGGGGCTTCCACTGCCTGAGACAGTTGCTACATCCCACCAGTCTCTAAGTGGTGTACATAATAAAATTATTGATAAAACACAGCTGAATTCCATAAACTGCTAAAAAACTTATTATTATTATTATTATTATTATTATTATTATTAACAAAAACACATAAAATCAGTAAAACTTTTAATGCAAACAGATAACTAAATTATATGTTGATACATGAAAAGTGGGTTTCTAGTGGTTTTCTATTCAGTTCCCTGGTTCTGCCCCTGGTGTCTAGATAGGAACTGGGAAATATTTCTGTCTGACACCTGACAAGCAGCTGCTGGTTAGCATTCACAATTCTGCCCAAGAGGAACTGATTTGTTGGTTGATGACTTGGTAGAAACAGCTTCCTGTGTTCCAGTTCAAGAGGAGGATCGATTCCCTTTAGCAATTCACAGCATTGGCTTCTTTCTAAATTTTTAACGTTTTTGCCATCATACTTTCTAATTTAAGCTGTAATCATACAAGCCATCTTTTATTTGAAAATGTGTTTATTATATGCAATCATAGAAGTCATCTTTAACACAAAACCAAAAAACCCAAAGATGCGTAAAATTCTACTAAAAATATTTTACAGTGCAATCTAGTTGTTGCCCACTTCATCCTTAGACTATGGGTAGTATAACATTCTATTTATTTTAAGTATTTATGAGTTGCTCTTTGAGTAAAAATCTCCAAAGCAACATATAAACAACATCAAAGAGGACGTGACCCTTTTAGCATTGTGCTAGCTAGCTGCCTGCCTGGTTTGCAATTCAAATTGCAACGCTGACTCCCAGCGTCAGAGTCTGGATTTGACTTGCTTCAGGGCGTATTTGCTACTTTCACGGCATGTTTTCAGTCTTTGGGTGGAAAACGAAGAGTCAGAACTTCTCTTTCCTAGACAAGCAATTTTTTGAGGGTAACTATGGGGGGTGGGTGGTTAGACGACGCACCAGGCGCAAGCCAAGATCCTGGAGGTGGGTCGCAGTAGCCCAGCCTATCCTTCCCTCTCTTTGCACTCGCGCGCTCCCCTATTCCATTCCCTATTATAGAAGCGCTTCCGGCGGCGTGGACCAACCTGACATCATCCCCCGCACCCCGGTGACGTCAGCGCCGGGAGCTGTGTGTGACGGCGATGCGTAGGGGAGCGTGGTGACGTGCCCTATTTAAAGGTCCCCGAGTAGAGGATGGAGGCAGAATAAGCAGGTGCTGCCGCGCGGGGGGTTCGTGGCTGCGGAGTAGCCGAGAGAAGACATTGCACCGCGCAGCCCCGCAGGGAAAGAGCTGGGCCCGAGTGGAGGGGCAGACCCCGCGCCTAGCCCGGGTTGCTTACACGCCGCTGCAGCCGCAGCCCTTCCACCGTCGCGCTTTTTTAATTGCATTTTTTGGGTTTGGGTGGCTGCGGGCGCCGGTGGGAAGGACGTGGCGAAGGGAGAGCGGGGCGCCCGTCTCTTCTCTGGCGCCTCCAGCTCTGAGCGCCGCCCTCCCGGCTCTCCCCCCTCACGCCCCCAGCCTGTCCTGCGCGGGAAACCGGCAGAGGGAGAGAGTGAGGGAGCAACCGACTGAGGCGGAGGCGTGTGCGAGGGCGGGGAGAGGAGGAGGAGGTGTGAGGCGGGAGGATGTGAGCGGGCGGCGCGGAGAGGCTTTTGCGGGCAGGGAAGAGCCGGAGCGGCCGGGCACGGATTGACCCTGCGATTGGAGAGCCCCGCGCCCTGACTGCCTGCCTGCCCGCCCGCTCGTCGGGGGAACGGTGCCTGAGGTGTTGTAGGGGCAAGCGCCCTCCTCCTCCTCCTCCTCCCGCTGTCGCCGCAGCAGCCCGCGCTGTGGCCCCGCTGCTGCAGAGAGGGGCGCGAGGGGGCTCTGCTGCTATCGACGCGGTTACCACCACCGCCACTCCTCCTCCTCCTTTTTCTCCTCCCGCCTCGCTGCTGCTGCTGCTGCTGCTGTGAATGATTGATCTGCCAGCTCCGAGCCGGAGGAAGATGCTCCCCCGCTGCAGAAACAGGCGTGCCTGAAGTGGGGACCCGCCACATCTCCCCTTTAGCCCCCCACGTCTTCATCATCCCGCCCTTGCAAGGGATGCGCGGCCGGTGCCCTGCCTCAGCCGCCGTTTTACCGGAGCCCGATGTCAGCGCCGGCGAAACGGCTTCTTCCTCCGCCGCCGCCTCCCGCTGCTGCTGCTGCCGCCGTCGCCGCTGCTGCTGCTTGGGAAAATGAAGCGACACCCCCCATTCTGCTGCTGCTGCTGCTGCCGGCGGGGGTGTTAGAAGGAAGGGCGGCGCGGAGCGCTGCGCACACCGCAAGCCCCCCAATCCCGCTCTGCACCTGAGACGGACGGCGATCCGGGGCTCTCGCCGCCGCTCCAGGGCATTTGTATTAACTGCCGACGGCATAAGCGCTGCTGTGGGGTTTCTAACCCCCCCCCTCCACCTCCTCCCTGCAGAAGGAGAGTTGGCTTGGTGCTGCTGCTTCTACCTCCTGTCCGCCGCCTCCTGGCAGGGAGCTGGAGCTGCCCCTGGACCCCGTGGTGCAGGGGGTGCGGAGGAGACTGGCTCCGGGAGGCTATGGGGGAGAGTCCCCTCGGGCCGACTCCCTAGCCAGACTCCCTGTCTTCTCTACATAAGGGTTTCTTCCCCCTCCCCGGCCACGCTCCCACATGCCTGTAGACTCTAGCGTTTGAAATTCTGCTGAGAAGGATTATAGGGCCCCGTGGATTTCGTGGAAACACCTGGGATCTACTACAGGAAAAGGCAGAAAACCAGACCGAGAAGGAGTGTCAGCACTGCTAACTAGCTGGGGTCCAGTTGCCGCGTTGTAAAAGTGCAAGGCAAATCCATTTAGGAATTGGTCTGCTTAAACGACTCACATAGCACGTCTCCATTGGTCATCATGGGGTAAGGATTTCATACTGAATCTAGGAGTTGTAAAGGAGGGAGGTGGGTGTCTTTAACATGTCCAGGTTCCATGAAGTCTGGAATGCTTGCCTTTTAAAGGTAGGCCAGTCATTTCCACTATTATCTGTAAGAGAGGCACTGTAATAGGTAACTATGTTGGAATTTAAATCGGCACTAAGACTACCTTCCGTAATAGCTAAGTAAATATCTTGCTTCTTGGTTAGCAGCACCGAGAAATGTCACAAAGGCAATGAAACCAGAGACTTATTTATTCAGCTTTGAATATGGATAACGTTAAATATTACTGGAATGCTTCAGCCATAAAACAGGAAACATTTGTTGCTCTTGTTTTGTCAGCCAGGTCTGACAATCAGTGATCCTGTTTTCCATAAGTACTAGAAAGATAATGGAAAGAGGAATATACAGACTCTCTTTTCCTGCAAGCAGTTAACACTCTGAGAAAATCCTCTTTAGTCAAAATATTTTAAAATGCTGGGGATTTTTTTTTTAGCCCTGCTGGTTGCTTTCAAAAGTGAGGAAAATGGCTCCTTAAGCAGCTTGTGGGTTGGGTGAATGGCTATTCCAAAGTAGTTTGTACACTACTGTACTACCTTTTCGTTGATGGTGCCAACCACCAGTACAGCTATGAGAGTTTTTGAAAGTGCCACTTAAAATATGTGTATTTTTGCAGTTGCGGGATCTGTATTGGCTGGAATGTGCATGGAGTTTTTTTGTTTTTTTTTAAAGATGATATTCTGCTTTCTATCTTTGGTTAATAATATTCTTATTTTACATATTCCCCTCTCCTCACCCAAAGAATCTAAGGATCATGTGATAGCTCTGCTTGTAGAGCATGAGACTCTTAATCTCAGGGTGGTGGGTTTGAACCCCACGTTGGGCAAAAAATTCCTGCATTGCAGGGGTTGGACTAGATGATCCTTGTGGTCCCTTCTAACTCCACAATTCTATGATTCTATGTGTGAAATGAACTGTAATCTAGATGCTTCTTATGTATCAAGATAATACATGTGTGGTTAGTTTACATAGTAAAGTGCATGTCATGGTTAACTAGTGAAAGGCAACAAATAATACTGTTATGGTTTCTGTTCTCCTATGACTTACGGTGTCTGTAGGGCTCGGTCATTAACTAATTGTCCTGGATGGTTTCTTCAAGAAGGCAAAGGAGGGGCCAGCGCCTGAAACCCCACGCCCTAAAGTGCCCTGAATTCAAGTTCTGTTGCTGCAAATATAACTTGCAGCACCTCTATTTTTGTCTTCAAGTTGGCAGCTCGGGAGACCAGGCAATATCTTGGGCTAGGGAGATGTGGTCCAAGTTCCTCATTGTCAAGTATACATAATGAGCTTGCAAGCCATGCTAGACCTTTCTTTAGTTGATTGAACCCAGCGAAAGGATTCATCTGCATGTGTAATATTTTGTGTACAGGTCTAAGCAAATCATAATTTAACGTTCTCTTTGGTAGATCCCTGTGTGCTGTGGATTTTCAGTGAGCGTAATTGCTGGGAAGGCAGAGACCTTAGTAGAGTAGATGAACACCTTTTTCCTATTTCCTCTTAGAGTCACTGTGTGTTGCCTTGTTTTTCTCCTTTCTTCTTCTCCTTAAACCAGCCAGGGGCATCTCAATGGAAGAAAGGCATGCAGAAAGAAGCTGCTGGTTTTCAGTTCACAAACTCCCTCCCTAAACTGTCTTTTTATCTATGGGAGAGAGATGGAGAGGATAGGGAATAGAGAAACAAGGGCTAAGCACCTACCTACCCGCATAGGCATTTGGTTTTTTAAAAAGTAAGAAGAAATAACTATAAAATATTGCTTAATCTATAACTTGAGATTTAGTGTACCTTGATTGCACCAAGTAGCAGAATGCCAACTTTCCATCTTCAGTCTTTTCTGAAACCTGAGACTGCATGCTTAGGTTTTCTTTGCTTGCTGGGGACAATCAGTCTTGCCTGTAGATTTCCATGGCTTTTCCACTTCATGGGATTTTGTGGCCTTGCTTTCTCTCTTGCTTTTGGTCTACTTGGATCTGAGCTTCAGTATTGCCATTGAATGGTTTGTGTTTTATTTTAGAAAACCTGTTTCTGGCCTTGAAGAACCTAATCTATTACATCCTAAATCTAAAGGCCTGAATCTATGTTGCATGCAAAAAGGCCTGATGACCCCACTGCTTCTGTAACATGGCTCTTCTTGGGACAACAAAAAGATTCTAGTGTTCACTTACATGCTTTTTGTGTAACATTTAAATGCTGCCAGCACAGTTATTAGAATGTGGATTCCAGTGAAATCAGTGGGATATTTACAACATACTGCATGTTTTGTACTAAAGAACAAAGCACAGAAAATCTAAGGCATTAAAAATTATTCCCATTTGCCAAAGGACCTTGAAGCTTTACAGATATTCCTTAGGAAGTTGTTAGTTGGTTGGATACACCTAGAAGCAAACATTTGCATCTACATGCAGGCAATATAGCTCCCTGATCTTAAGTTTTGTTAAAACTGCCCATTCCAAAATGCCTCTGTGTAGCATTCAGGTAATTTGTTTTCTGTTTGCTACTTGCCTTAGCCACCCATGTGAAAAGTTTCCCCCTCATGTTCTGTAGATTTGCCAAATACTTCCCCAACCTGGTTCACTTTAGACTTTGTTGGACTCCAGCTCTCTCATAAGTCAAGATAGCATGGCCAGTTGTCGGGGATAATGGAAGTATTTACTGGAAAGGTGGGCCAGACTAGTTTTGGGGAGTATGTTTTGACATCTCAAATCCTTGTCAGATGTTTTTCCTCTTTTGTCATTCTGTCCATACATATCCATAAATTAACTGAATTTAATTTAAATTAACTGAATAAATTAACTGAATTTTCTTAGGATTTTGTACACTTGTTGAATGATCAAAACTAAGTTTAGCAACAAAATAAATATCAAACAACATTATGACACTGCTGGGACTGTTTAACTGGTGCCAAGATAACATCCTTTCTATCTAGTTCTTATTTTCAACAAATGAGGAGTGCAGAAAAGAAGAAATGCTCCTAAAATGACAAAAAGAGTGAAAGTGATCAAGGGGGAACACAAGGATTTCATTGCTACATCCAGTCCAACAGAAATTGTGACCAAGGTGTACTTCTTTAGCAATGAGAGGGAGAAGTTTGACATTGAAGGAAGTACAAAATCTCTGGATATGGCTGAGATAACTGGGTATGCGACCTGTTAATACAAGCTAACATGTGAATACAAGCTAACATGTTGACCCATGTGCTGTTGGTGGACTATAAAAGTGAAGAAGCAACTGCGACCTTCTTACACATTTTCCCCATAATTTTGTTTGATATGCATTTTGTTGTAATGGTCACAAGATGAAGTACTAACAAGAATTCTTTCAAAGTGTTAATTCTATCATGCAACAGCAAGCTATCAATCAGCTTTGGAATACATTTTTAAAAGAAAAGCTTGACTGGCTTTTCAGACACCTTTTAATTGAATAACTTTCTAAAGAAATGCCTGCAACGACTAATATTATAGTTGCAGGGACGCGGACTTATAAAAAATATTGGGGGGGGGGGCCGGGAAAGCTCATGAATAATAAATAAGCTCATGAATATGCAAATAAAGTGGCGCCGCCTCCTCGTGAGCGAATAGGGGAGAGCGTGCTGCGCCTATTAATCAGCTCCAAAGGAAATTGGGTGGAGCTTTTGCTCGGGAGGGAGGGCAGGAGGCATGCAGCCCGCCCCTCCCTGTGCATTTTGGGCTGGGGGAGGGGCGGCAATGGCGCTCTGCTGGAGGGGCGCCGGAGATTATTGGGGGGGCGGAGCCCCCCCAAACGAATTTTTGAGGGGGCTCGGGCCCCCTCAAGCCCCATGGAGTCGGCGCCTATGTATAGTTGAAGTCTTGTTTATTTTGTTATATATTTCCTCCAAGAAGACCCATTTATCCTAAATAGAAGCCAATAATGCAGACATGTATAAGGCAGACAGATCCCATTGAGATCCCAAGATAAAATTTTACAGATAGCTATTAGAAATATTAAATAATGAACACAGTTTTTTGGAAACTTTTAATCATATTTTTATCACTTTTTAAATTTTGCAACTTAAATTTAAAATTTACATTTTTAAGTAATTCCACCATGTGACATATCCTGTTAAAGCCCAGAAAGTTCTGAAAAGATTGGTGTTTTTAGTTTTGATGTATCTCAATCCTGGGCTGAGCTTTAAAGGTTTTTGTGTAGTCAGCAAGGCCAAAATTGTCAATTTTTTGAAATTTCAAACCGTCATAACTCAAAAACAGGATGAGAGGAAAAATTAAAATTTTAGATTTAAACTTAGTTTTGATCATCCAACAAGTGTACAAAATATTAAGAAAATCAGATGACATGAGGTAAAAAAGATGGATCACTTGATATGGAATGACCCTTCTGTTATCTTGATGGCATTCTGTGAGTGCATAACCCTTTGAAAATAACAATAGTATAGACTGGTATAATATGTTTTTTTAAACCCAAAACAGAACCTTTGTTCAACCTGTATGGCTTGCTAAAGATCAGCAACTGCTGGAGTGTATAATAGTCATGGAATGGTGGTTGTTTTTATCTACTCTTATGCAAAAGCTATAATGAGCAGGCTTGATCATCTAGAGAATCTTCCATAGACTGTATGTATAAAAAGCCCAATACAAATGCAAGCAGATATCCACAACAAGTTGTGTGTTGAATTTTGCCTAAGCCTTTTTGGCACCTGGCTGCATTCCCATCAGTCATTGGGTTACTCTAATTTTGACTCAGGTATATATGATAGCCAGCTGCTACAGACATAACACTGCTGGCTAACATTTCATGTTTCTACAGAGTATATTAATGAAAGCTCTAAAATCATGTTACCAAAAAGGCCAGACTATATGTGATGGTGGCTCCTACTTGAGTTTAAAACCCAGAACTGCTCCAATTGCATATTTGTTGTTGTTTTTAAGTATTTATAGGCTACTTTTTGAGGT